CGGTTCTGGAGCCGGAACCATGGCTGCTGGGGCCAGAACTGAGGCTGGAACCATGGCTGCTGGGGCCAGAACTGGGGCCGGAACCATGGCTGTGTGGGCTGGTACTGGAGCCGGAACCATGGCGGCTGGGCACGGAACAGAAGTACGAGCTGGCTTCCTGAACTTGCGTTTTTTAGAGGTCCTTTGGAGGCTCCGTGGACCTCCAAACGCCAGGCCAGACCCCAAGAAAGGGTCAGAGGCTCGAGACAAGCTTTCAGGGCTGCTTGTAAAAGTTTTAAGCCACTCAGGCAACGAGCTCCTGAGCCAGGGCTTGCGAGCAACCTCCTGGCGTGCCTCCTTCAAAGCAGCCTCTTTAGCCCGTCTGGATGAGGCTGCCAACCAAGTATAAAAAATGTACTGTGCCTGTTGAGCCAACAAAAAAGAAACTGCTGAGTCAATCAATCAATCAATGTTTATTTATATAGCCCAATATCACAAATGTTACATTTGTCTCAGTGGATTTCACAGTGTGTACAGAATATCAGTATGACAATACGACACCCTCTGTCCTTAGACCCTCACATCGTACAAGGAAAAACTTCCGAAGAAAACCCACAGTTTAAAGGGAAAAATGGGAGAAACCTCAGGGAGAGCAACAGAGGAGGGATCCCTCTCCCAGGACGGACAGACGTGCAATAGATGCCGTGTGTAAATTGAAAAGATAATACATTTGCAACATAGGTAGTCCAAATGTTTGGAAATGCATGTGTCTGTAATAAGAAGATGAAACCACGAGGATGTCAGCAATCTTGTGGGAGCCATCAGGGAAGTAGTATGGTGAGAGTCTGGCAGGACCGCAGAGACAGGTTCAGCCATGACTCGAAGTCCAGGACTCAGATCTAGTACTCAGGATAGAGGATCCAGGACACACGACCACAGGATTAGCCTCGACTCAGGATCCCGGCGTAGATATGGACACAAAAAAGAGATTTGGGGGAAGCTGGGTTAATCGGAACATGAGAGTACACAGGTACAAACAGACAGAAAGACGGAGTAAGGTGCCCCCCCCAACAGTCCAAGCCTATAGCAGCTAAACTAACGTGTCTACATACATGCACTCCCTTAGGATAGGTTGAGGGAAAAGGGTAGCAAGTAAGAAGTAGGAAACAGAGGTGGAGAGGCACACGCAGGGAGAAAGGTCCCCACTGGAACCTGAATTGGTTAGAGGTAAGGAGTAGGTCTGTGGCTACGTTCCACACTCCCGGGCCGGGCTAGGCCTTCTCTGCAACCTGTTACCCTCTAATAAACCTTGAGAGGTCATAGAGGGGAAAGGTTTAGATAAAGTTTTAAATATAAGATCTAAGTTTTTAGGATTTAAGTGAAAGAGTAAGAACTAAAATGTATAGATGAAGAGGCACAACGTATCTACGTCAATGCACTCTTATTAGATTATTTTATTTTATCACTATAAGCTTTATCAAAAAGGAAGGTCTTAATCGTACTCTTAAAAACGGATAGGGTGTCTGCTGCCCGAACACAAACCAGAAGCTGATTCGTGGAGCTTGTTAAGAAAAGGCTCCATTACTGGTTGGTTCATTCTGTCAGGGATGGGGAAAAATAGGACCCAAATGCAGATTGAGGAGGAAACAAAAGGCGAGCTTTATAAAAGCTGAAAAAAAACAAGAATCCATGAACAGGTACGAGGCACGAGGTAGCATCCAACCCAAAGGTGACTGTGACCAACATGAAGGGAGACATGAACGACAAATAATGAACCAACACCGAACACAGGAAGAGACAAGACTAAATACAGGGAGGGGTAATCACGAGACGAGAAACAGCCGGGCAGGGAAGGAGAAACACAAGGGCAACACAATCAGACAACTTGACACACCAGGGAAACTAACTAAAGGGAGGAAGACAAGACACAGGGAGAACAGAATTGCAAAATAAAACCATGACAAGACAGACCAAACTAAAACCGTGACATAAAACTAAGATCGTGACACTAATAGAGTACTTCACAAGTGTCCAGTTAAAAATCTAGGATTCGCCTCTGTTGTATTCCACGCCTTTTTTTTCTCTCCATGCAAACAAAACCTGCTTGAACGTGATTGGTCGTATCAGACTAGATGTGGGCTACTGCAAACAAAAAGCAGAACTCTTCCGATAGCAGAATCGTGTCCCGTGTTGCCTGCTGTAGTCTAGTTGCTAAAGTAGGCAACTTATTTCAAGATGATACCAAATCTGAACTGTACCAAATGATGTAAAGTGACACAGGAGGTTGGACTCTGTGGGAGAATTAATCCTATTTTCTGGTTGCTTAAGTTTTATATTTGTCACGCCTCCAGGCAGAAAAGTTATATATAATGTCTGACACACATACTATCAGACATGGAAGTAGTTCAGCGTTAAATTGATTCACCACAGAATTATGAGAACTGTAATTACTTTCAACTCTAAGAAGATTTTTCCACAGCCGGATAAGTAGCTTTTTTATTTATGCAAGTCCTACATGGAAAGTTTGTAAAATCTCTTACCAATCGTAGTGGCCTAAATTCACATGAAATCCCCCCCCCATCCAAACCTTCCTCACCTCTGTGAATGCTGCCAAGTCGGTCGGTTATGTAACCTGTAACTGAGAAGGTCAGCACCATAGGTCAGCACCCAGCAGTCATTGCTATGGATACTTGGCAGGGACACACACATCAGACATCTTGGCCGGTCCACTTCAGAAATGTGTGTGTGTTTTTGTGTGTGTGAGACTGTGCGCGTATTAGCAGTAGAGCAGCAGCGGTGTTACCTAACTCACCCAGAAAAGACATCTGGGGAGTTTAAGCAGCCCTCTCACTGATTTCAGCTTCACACACACACACACACACACACACACACACACACACACACACACACACACACACACACACACACACACACACACACACACACACACACACACACACACACACACACACACACAAATTGGCTCATGTTGTACACAAACACTCAAACGCTCAATTTCTGGCCACACACAAGGATAAGTCACACACACTTCACAGATGTGCATACGTGTTATATTGCACGTCATTTGTTTAAAGTTAGTGCTCATGACAAATAAGGTTCACTGCAAACATTTAATGTCCAATCTGTTGAGCCACTAATTGTTATGACTTGACTTATTGTCAAGTATTAGTTACTTAAAGGGGCATTACACAGATTTGTTCACATGAGGGTGAGTTTACTTAAGCTATTAGTCGATTAAAGTCAAATATATATCAAATGTGCCTTACAAACTGAAGCGTGGAGAAACAGACATTGAGGTGCAGTCTTTTGGAGCTTGAACCACATGGGGGTCTAATAACCAGGATATCTCAGACTGTACTGCTTTAATGTTGACCTTTGAACTTTCCTTGGTAAATTGCAAAACTAAATTGACAGTGTATTTCTTTAAAGCCCCTTTAATATGCTGTTTTAGGATTGAAAGTGGAAGTGTTTTTCACTCTCATACTGCCTGTGCTGCAGCACCTCTTTTCACCCTCTGTCTGAAACCAGAGCCCAACATCATGATGTCATTATGTTACGTCTGGATGCGTTTCAGGTAGGTGGGGGGAGTGTGTGGGAGATAAACTTTGTTTGCCTTTGCAGACCATTTAATTGCACAAAAACCTTGGAAAGGGCAAACCCAAAAAATCATAATAGGTGAAAAATCCATCAAGTGTAACATTTGTATTGCGATTATTAACTATCCTTATGTTGACTACGGTATTATCCTTCTAGGTGGCCAGATTCAAAACCACTGTAAACATTCTAATGGCATAGAGAAAATGAAGTCCAGACATGTGGGTTAAAAAATAAAAATGCTTTAATTAGAGACATCAAATACATGCATGCTTTCTTTTGAGTGTTCGACACAGTGGTTTGTAACTATTACATTTCAACTCAGACGGCTGGACTGTGTTGCCGTTAGAAAAACACATTTCCTTTAAAACTCCACAGAAACAGGACAAGCAGAAACACTGATTTCATTTGTTCTTTACTGCACATTTTATGTACAAGACAAATTCTCCAAAGGCAATATGAAATAAAACAAAATGCAATAAACATATATAGTCACTGTGAGATATTTAGATTTGCTCTCCTTTAGTTATCATTAATCCGCAGTGTAATGATTTCTGTTCATTTACAAGTTTTTGATGTATTATTGGAAAATGTTTCATAAGCACTCACAACACGCTGCCAACATGAAAAGTATTAAAAACGTGAAAAACAATATGACCATTTTTTCTTGATTCCTGATCCGATTACTTTTTTGTAGGTTTCTGTATGATGCCGACAGACACTGTGTGAGTTACGTATTCCAAATATCAAAAGAGAACATTTAAAATACAATTTACAATAAACCACCTGCGTCATGTCGACACACTCAGCACATGCAACACAACAGACAGCAGCTGAGTGTCAGTGGATAACCTGATGCAGATTGAGGAATCATGACTCAGCAAATTTGACCAAAACTCCTGACCTGTACAAATTCTTCCCCAGCTTAGCTTGCATGTTATCCCATTTTACACTCTGGTCACAATATTTTCCACATTCCTCAATGTGAGAATATATCACTGCCTTAAATTAAACACACACACACACACCACACACACACACACACACACACACACACACACACACACACACACACACACACACACACTCAGCACACACACACACACACACACACACACACACACACACACACACACCACACACACACACACACACACACACACACACACACACACACACACACACACACACACACACACACACACACACACACACACACACACACACACACACACACACACACACACAACACACACACCACCACACACACACACACACACACACCACACACACACACACAAAGACCTTTGTCTCTTTATCATCACTCTCTGTGGAAAAGTATCCTCTTTATAAAATAATGTTGTCATCCCTGAACTATTAAGTGATATTGAGTGACATGATGCGAGTTATTTTGGATAAAAGTTCATATTTGTACATATCTGCTGCAGTCATTCCTTTAGGCACATTTTAACATACTTAGACTGTTTGGAAAAACATTTATCCACGTCAAGTAAGACGCATTGGTCTGTCCTTTAGAAACATGAATGTACAACATTAAGGAAGAAGGAGTTACACTGAGCCTCTCTTCAGCACTGATTGGAGGGTTTGCACCAATCAGAAACCAGAAAGTAAGAAAACAACAACTGTGTGCAAATGTCCATCCAGACTCTTTGATGGAGCCATATCTCTTTCCATCACTGGACGATCTGGGGCATCTCGCTCCAGGCTTTGGCCTTCTTCTTGGCCAGCGCCATCCAGGGTGGCTCATCCTGGGGCAGGGTAGGGGGGGGCTGGCCCCGCTGGGAGGCAGGGGTCTGGCCGGGGAGCCCCGGAGCTTTGGACTTTTCCGGGATTTTTGTTGAAAAAGGAGGGGAAGTAAGTGACTTGGATGTGGGGGGAGGTTTTGAGGGGGATGTGCAAGAGGGAGCTTTTTGGGGAACAGGAGTGGGAGTAGAGGGGGACAGAGATCTTTGGGGGGAGTGAAGTTGGGGGGCAGGTTTGGCGGTGGCAGGGGGGAGCTGGGGCTTTGGAGGGACGGGGCAGGGGAGGGACTGGGGTTTAGGAGGCTGAGGGGGGACCGGAGTGGGAGGAGAGAGAGTCCTCCTGGACCCCTTCTCTGCTGACGCTGCAGGCTTACCGATCTCCAACGCACTCACTGGAAAGAGAGAAAACAATATTCAAACAAAAAGCCAATCTTAATATTAAAGATGCATTTAAAAAGTAAAAAATAATGTATATAAACATATTTGTTTTGTTTCTTTTATTTGTACAGTATGTCATAAGTATAGTTTTTAAATGATTTCTTTATAATTTGTTTATTTCAGTTTTAACAGCATTTAGAAATATATTGACACGTTTGACTCCTGTATTTTTGGGTATACATAAAATTAAAAGATAAACGGAAATAAATAAATAGATATTTTGCTTATTTGGTTTGGAAACATATTTACTGAGCAATTTCTGAAAACCAATTTTTGTATACCTAAATATATTTAATGTTAAAATAAATCCTTTATATCCTTTTATTTGTATATAGTTTCTATCTGTGAATATACATGACCATCATTTATAGTTCTTTCATAGAAATTAAAATGAGAATTGACGCAACAATATATTATTATATGTATATCTTCTTTGGCTCAATAAAAACAGAAAACTGTAAATGGAGTTACTGAAATAAGCAGTCCTTCAAACACATTAGTTAAACTTGACTTTACTCAAACTCAAATGGATCTTTAATGTTATACTTTGGCTTTGTGTGATAGGAAGTTTAGAGGACACTTTAGACGCAGCTTTGGTAGGACAGTCAATTCAAAACAAAAACACATACTGTATCAGCTGCAGAGTAAACTGCTGTCGTGTCTGTGTGTGTGTGTGTGTGTGTGTGTGTGTGTGTGTGTGTGTGTGTGTGTGTGTGTGTGTGTGTGTGTTCTGACCTGTTTTGTTACTTGCCGCTGAGCTGACATTCATTGGCAGGGAACTCTTCCTCTCCGGTTCCTCCTGATGACAGAGAGCAGCACACTCAGTTATAAATTATGTGGCGGTAAATGTCCAACAGCACCTGCATCTGAACCATGTCATTTTAGACTGAACCAAAACCTAAACCCCATGTCAGCATATTGGATAAACCAGTCACAGCCCTGAGGCCTGTACTACGAAGCTGGTTCAACCTAACCTGGATATGTTTGAGTTAGCCGGTTGGCCTAATCCAAAACATACGCGCTCTCGCTAAACGGTCCTACGACGCGGGTTATCAAGTGGATCGCTCAAGCCAGCCGTGTTCTATCTAGTTAGGTGCGCGTTCACATGAAAGGGGTGGTATCTGGAGCATTCGACCAATCACAAACATGGAGAAGCATACTGACAGCGCAGCGTCATACTTCCTGAATGAAAAGTGAACTTTAATATTAGACATATGAAGAAGTTAAACTTTGACTCATGATGTCATGGATGTTTTAAAGTTGAACTTCTTCATATGTCTAATATTATAGTTAACTTTTCATTCAGGAAGTATGACGCTGCGCTGTCAGTATGCTTCTCCATGTTTGTGATTGGTCGAATGCTCCAGATACCACCCCTTTCATGTGAACGCGCACCTACAGTAACTAGATAGGACACGGCTGGCTTGATAGCCTCGAGTTGATAGCCAGCGTTGTAGGACAGTTTAGCGAGAGCGGCTTTGTTTTGGATTAAGTCAACCGGATAACTCAAAACATATCCAGGATAGGTTGAACTAGATTCGTAGTATACCCCCCAGGTTAGCCACACAGCATAAGTTACCATGGAGATCTAGCCTGCTAAAAAGAGAACCAGCTTCGTAGGACCGGAAACCCAGAGTTTTCCCTGAAGTTAGCCGGCTAAGCGAAAATCCTGCTTCGTAGTATACCCCCCTGGTGTTAAAGGGATATTTAGATATTGTAATATTATTGTATGAGGTACTTAACCATGGTGGACGAGCTAAAGCGGTAAAAATAGCTTTTGACTGAACCGATAAAGGTAAACAATAAATCATTGTTGTGTTGTTATTTTATTTCTGTTGTTGTTTTTCGTGTTCTGTTGCAAATCAAATTCCTACTAACAAGGACAATAAAGATGAACTGAACTTAACTTCTTTCCCTGTCACTTGAATGGGGAAATGTGTCCACATAAAAGACAAATCCAACCACACACATTACCTTCCTGACAGAGACCTCATCGAGGGAGTTTTCTTTGTAGATCTTGTGTTTCTGTTTGGCCAGCGAAATCCAGCTGGGAGACTCAGAGCCAGCAGAAACACCCCGAGCTGCAGCTGGATCTGAATCAATACACAGCAGAGACACTGTTACACCACAGCTCAAGTCTTTGGGATGCTGTAAACATTGCCACATAGTTTATGGAAAATAAAAAGTGTGTTTATGTGTGTGTACAAACCTGTCATGCGCTTGTTTTTCCCTCCACTGTCTCCTTGTACGTCTGGTTTCTTAGGGAGGGCGGGCTTGTTGCTGATAGGCTGACTTACGGAGGGCTTAACACTGATTGGCTGCGGAGAGTCAACTCTACAGCTGGTTGGCTGAGCTGAAGGCTCCATGGAAGGCTGAATAAGATAAAACATAAATACAACGATTCAATACAAAACGTATTTTACACCTGCATTCAATACTTTTTTTGTCCACTTGGGGTCAGCAGAAACACGCAAGTAATCAGTTATTATTTACACATCCAGGACATAGGGGGCAACATTTGTGAAAATAAGTCTCAAATTTACTTTTTTTTAAAACTCTGATTTAGTTTTGCTTTTCCAAGAAAACCTATAAATGTATGCCCTAAACCAAAACCATTAGCTTAAAGACGCAAAAGCCCTTCTTAGTACAGAGGGAAACTGCAGTGTACAGTGACAGTTCTCTATGGGTTGGTCACTATGAGCACCACCTTTCATATACAATTTGTTATTTGATCTATTGTTAAACATGACCTATAGCTGCCTTAATACACTAAAACACCTTTGATGATGCATTTTGGTAACTTTTAGTTTCCTGGATTAAGTTAAAACAACTTCAGAGTTCAGATCTCTATGGAAGCCAATTTTCCAAAATTGGTAAAATAGACTAAGTATCTAAACTAATGATAAACTTTTATTTTAAGTCATCATATTAGCCCTGAGCCTGTTTTCCAGGTCTCAGGCTCGAAAATGACATTCCCAGAACAAATGACCATATCTTCCCTTCTAAAAGTGTCAGAATCAATATAGATGTTTTTTATTTTAAGGAAAATTCAGATGAAAAACTGTAAATTATAGTGTCCGTCCAAAATAAAAACATTACTTATAGTGAAAACCACCCTTGAATGATGGGATAGTACACTAAAAGCGTTAGGAATCCAGACTAAAACATATCATAAGTACCCTGTATCAAGATTGATGCAAAACAAGTGACATTTGACCTTTTTAGAGAGATTTAAAAAAAGAAAACACTTCTGGGGTCATTTGGGTGGATTTGCCAAATCTCTGGCCCCCCTCGGTCGATTTTGATGATTGACACCTCTTTTGAACCGTTAGAGCCAATAGAATCGAGGGGAAGTTCCTCAAATCCATCTAAACATTACCATTGGTGAATAGAGTGATACATGCACAAAACCGGAAGCTGGGTTGTAGCTCTCACACACTCTATATGAAATCTCAGTTTTTGATCAAATTGGAATGATGGATTATCAGTAATCATTTAAAAGTGACACAGAGACATTGGATTAACCTTCAGCAGAGTTTTTATCGTTTCAAAGCCATTGAACGCAACTTTTGATCAGAAAAACAGCAAAGGTAAGACGTATTTGCCGTTTTGGCTCCGTAAAGCTACGTTGTGTGTTGTCTGGGTTTGCCTTCGCTGCCCTGGGTTTTGATCGCACAGTGATGATACTTATACCTCTGGAATCTGTGGAATCTCAGCTTCAGGCTGATATCTTGTTTGTGCAGATCCGACAAGTAATACAATATTTCTACCGTGAGTTCTGTGCCAAGTGCGTTAGCATTTTTTCGCTCAGTGCTAATTCAGAGGCTTGGTATTACCCTTGTGTTTCGTTTAGGTAAGAATTGTTCATATCGTCAGTTAGCTGAGATTCTTCCCGTTAAGTGGGTATGACACATTAATAGGTTGTTAAATGTTAAGAAGCCCTGAGACACAGTTTCGTGAAAAGAAAGCCGGGTTAAGAACCTGAGTCAATATTCTGAGTCATTTTTTTAAGGAAGTTTTTAAATATCATGACTTTTCAGGGTTTTTTGTTTGTTTCAAATGGGCCCCCATATGCAGAAACCCTCAGAACTGACCATCTTCAATGCTTTTCAAGAATGACGTGTGTTGCTTCGGGATATTTTGGAAGCAAAACGTATAATAGTAAGAACAAAGTCCGGAGACGCACCTCTGTGTTTTCCTCCTCGGAGCTGAAGCGAGGCAGAGCCGACGTCTTCCTCAGCCGAACTCCAAACGGATTGTCGGGGTTTCCCTCCATCACCATGGAGCTCTCTGTAGGAGGGACAGGGGAAAAGTTGGTCTGTGGTTTAGATTCCTTTTAACTCCAAAGGACGAGTTAGCTTCATTTGACATGCAGCAGACATACTCTTTAATATAAAACGTGGAAGGAAAATAGTTACTTTGGAACTCAAGAAGAACATGTCAATTCAACCTGATGCTAAGTCCTGCCTTCAAATATGAAAAGAAAACCTTTGGTCGTTTCAGAGAGAGCCAGTACAGAATATTACACAGACACTGATGCAATTCATATGCATGTTTTTGCAACAAATGTATGTTATTTAATGTATGTATATTAGGGGTGTAACGGTACACGTACCCGTACCGAAATTATTCGGTACGGGCCCTTCGGTTCGGTACAGGTGTGTACCGAAGTGTACCGAACGAATATAACGTTAAACGTAAAAAATTGAGAACGTGAACAACTTCTTGGAAGTAATCTCAGGTGCTGCGTCGCAGCATTCAGAGTAATTTGCTCACATTGGGTTCAACGCGTCATAGAGCGAGCAAGTCATTTCATTGGATGAGAGGCATACTATACTGGTCAGAGGGATGCGTTCAAATGTAGTCAGTAATTTGAGGAACTGTCGAAAATTAATGTTGAACGCAGATAAAGTTGAGCTCGAAAATCCTCCAGCATCATTGAAGTCTCCGGTTTGGGAACATTTTGGTTTTGCAGTTACGTACAAGGATGACGGACAAAGACAGGTGGACCGAACCAAAGCTGTTTGTCGGCATTGTTCAACTAACATTGGTTACGCGGCTGGCAATACATCAAACTTGCACACTCTTGAAAAGGCATCACCCGAACGTGAATATCACCGGTACCAAAAGAAAAAAGACTGAAGTGTAACCCAACTCCCACTAGCATTTAAGCCTCCACCACTCGTAAATAGTTCAGACCGAGCCAAAGCTATTACAAACGCCAAATATCCTTATGTTGCCATGGTAGCAAAGCGCTACCTGGCTGTGTCTGCTACCTCTGTCCCTAGAGAGGGTGTTCTCCACAGCAGGAGACATTGTTAGTGCCAGCAGATCTGCCCTTTCGGCAAGCAATGTGGACAAGTTCATCTTTCTTTAAACAACATGAAAATACAATGACAAGCAAGTCCTAATGTCAAACTGGCTGCTTAGGTACTAGTACAGTTCAAATACAGATTATTTCAGTTCATCGAAATGCTGCACCTTAATGTTTATTTTATTATATTTTGTATTTATTTGAGTGAATACATTATTCACAGTTTAATAATAATAATAAAAAAATATATATATATGTTTTGTTTTGTGAAAAAAAATTCTGCTGTACCGAAAACGTACCGAACCGAACCGTGACCAAAAAACCGAGGTACGTACCGAACCGAAATGTTTGTGAACCGTTACACCCCTAATGTATATACATACTGATTTGATTCTTTGTTTGGTTGTGTAAAGAATATAACAAATATTATTTAAGAAAATAAAGAAATCGTAAAAAATATACATCAGCAAATTAAATTGTATTGAAAAAAGACCAAGAATAAGACAAGTAGTGCGTAATAATATAATCATAACTATTATAAAAAAAAGAAAAAGAGAAGAACAACTTCGATTTCAGAGACCAATCAAGAACCCAAAAACAAAAACGTCCATGATGTTCTTTTGGACACATTTGACGTCCTCACCTTCTGTGCTTGCAGCAGCTGGGGTCTGCGGATGATTGGATGATGACAACGTGGTGGTGGGGGTCCCTGCGTTCCTCGCTCTTCCCGGGCTCAACACCACTTCAACCTTCGCCGGACTCGCTGGCTCTGCTTTCCCTTTACTGACCTCCACCTCTTGGGGCCTTGCGTCAGAGGACGATGAAGATGTGGTTTGGGAGGAAGGAGGTGTGGAACTCTCCTCTGCGTCCCCGACAGACAGCGACCTCTGCGAGGCGGGGGTGATGGTGAAGCGGGTGGGGCTGGACACCTGGTTGACCTCTTCCTCCACAGAGACAGGAAGTGTAGCTTCCTCCTCGAGAGCTGACTGTTTCTCTTCTTCTACTGTTTCCACACTATCTTCTGTTTCTGCGTTCTGCTCCTCAGCTTCTTGAGGCGTCTCACTTTCTTTGGGCTGGGTGTCAGGTGGGGACTTTGGGAAGAAAGATGGGGCCTTCTCTGAGCTCGGAGAGAGTAGATTAATGTGGATGGTGGAGGTCTTGCTGGGAGAGATGCTTCCACTCTCAGGTGACGGAGGCTCGTGGTGTGATTCAGAGAGAGACAAAGAAGAAGGCTTGACAGAAACTTCTTCTGTTTGTTCTTTGTCCACTTGCTTCATGTCTGAATGTGGTGTTTCTCCACCTTCTTCCTGCAGGTTTAGCTCACTTTGATCTGCTTCACCATCTTCCTCTTGCTCCGATTTTTCCATGTTGATGTCTATGACTTCCTCCATCCTCTCTTCTCCATCTTCCCTCTCCTCTTCTATGCTTTGATCAGAAGCTACATGACTTTCATGCACCTGATCATCCATTGCTTCACCATCATCTCCAACCACAACAACTACACCCTCATCTTCCTCCTGCAGCTGTATGTCATCATGAGCTGCATCAGGAAACGCCTCCGTCATCTCTTCTGCGTCGTCGCTCTCTTCCTCTATTGCTTCCTCTGCTTCCTCTACTCTCTCCTCTTCCTCTTCCACCTCTGGTTCTTTCTTCAGCTCAATGGCCTCCTCCTCCTCCTCCTCCTCCTCCTCCTCCTCACTCGCTTCTTCTCCTCTTCCCTCTTCCTCTGCCTTGTTTACGGTGTTTCCTGTATCATTTTGTTCCTCGGGTTCGTCTTCTTCTTCTGCGTTCTCTTCCTCTTCTCGCTGGAAAATAAAGCACAGAGGAATATAAGGAAAGTAGAGATTTGTTTTTGTAACCACAGAGGATACAGTTAGCTAAGGAGAGGTGGAGCATGTAGTTGCCAAAGAGCCAGATATTTCTGGTGGAGACCAAAAACAGAGATTAAAGGAGGGTGAATTTTGGGTGAACAGAAACACGACTTGAATGAATGCTAATGTTGCTTCATGTCTGCTGGTTGTGTAGATCTGTAGTTAGCATGCTCTCCTTAACAACTTTACAGGGCGATATTGCAGTATGTCAATGTTACAAATATGTGTTTACAAATATATTTTGCTCCCACCCAAAATGGCCGAAATGGTTTATGATTTTGGAGTTTTAATATGATACCGACATCAACAATTATAGAAATCATACCAATAAAACACAATATTTGGTTTCATAGCTTTTTCCCTGAGCATTTGTGAAAAAAGGTTTTGCTGGGATCCTTCTTTAAATTACTCTTTTTCCAAAAGTTACATTTTTGTAAAAACAATTGGAAAGAAAATGTATTGGCAGGTGAATTTCGGTTGATGAGCACATATTTAGTGTTTGTTGTTGTAATACTATTTCTGACCACAAGAGGCCGATATGCAACATGTTCAAATAGGAATAAAACCTCAGATGTTTTTTTCCAGGTGCGTTTTAATTTCTCTATGCACTCTCTTATTATTACAGGGTACATTGATATCATTCAGATACATTTCTAGGCAAAGAAAAGCATGCCAGGAAAATGAAATAACTTGTTAAGGACCTTGTGTTCAGAGCACATAGAAAAATGTAAACTCATGAATCATGAATGCTAAAAGTTTAGAACATGGGCCCTTTCTCATTTCACTAATGTCCCCTCCTCGACTCCTCGACTCCTCGACTCCTCGGTCCTCCGGTAGTGACCCGGAAATGGATTTCAGCGCGCCATGTTGAAGGACATCTAATTTCTCTAAATGCACTTCGAGGACCGAGGATCGAGCGTCGAGGAGGCTCTCTGGAGGAGCTCTAACCGAGGATACACTGATGGGTCCTCCACGGTCCTCCACGTCTCCTTCGTGGATGCATTTCCGGGAACAGAGATGTTTCAAAGAGTCGTGACGCACGGCCGGACTTATCTCAGCCAATGACAGCTCTGCATGCATCCCCTGGATATTATTTTATTAACTGCTTGAACCCGGGATGTTTACAGAACAGCTGTGAGGTCTGTGCAGAAAGCAGAGCAGTGTGTATAATATATATCACTCAGTATAACAGGCCTACTCTCTTTATTTGCTTTAGTTTAGTAGATATCTACAAACAAAGAGTCGATATGTTTCTAAGACCATTTAGTGCTTCACATAATAAAATACACAACGGCTGTAGCCTGATTATGCTTTAGGAGCTGTAGGTGCGTGTGTGTGGTACAGTGTGTAGGTGTGTGTGGTACAGTGTGTAGGTGTGTGTTGTACAGCGTGTGTGTGTGTGTGTGGTACAGTGTGTAGATGCAGCGGACAGACGGGTCTCAGTTGGTTTGGTGTCCTCTGCTTACTTTAATATTGTAAATAAAACTTTTGGCCCGTAATTTATTTTCCTCATTGTAGCGACCAGAGAGGGGGGGGGGATATATCCAGTCTCTGATAGTGTTATGTTATGAGAGTGCTCTCATACTTGTTTGAATCTGAAATTGTATATATATATATATATAAATATATATATGTGTGTGTGTGTCCGCATCTGTAGCCTGTTATTGTCTCATTATAACGCACTGTCAATGAATGAATCATCATCATGAACACATCTGTCCATCAGACAGAGGGCTGCTGTGCCTCCTGTCATCATTAATGGACGTCTCTTTAAAATGACCGCTCAGAGGAGAGGAGTTCTCATTTCTCTAACCGCCTGCTGCTTCCCCTCCTCTCTCCTCGGTTCCCCTCCTTAGTCCTCCGCTCGCATCTCCTGTGGGCGGGACTAAGTCTCGAGGATAGGAGTCGAGGAGGGGAATTAGAGAAATGAGAAACCTTCATGGTGTAGTGTTGCACTAGTGGCCGAAACAAGTATTACAACAACAAAACACCTAAAATGCTCTTTAGAAAAACACCTGCGACCTGGCAAAATATGTTCATTTACGTGATGTCAAGTCATTGACTCAAGAGATAAAACAATGTAGACCAAGCATATGATCAAGGTTCCTGCATGAGGCCCATTGTGTTCGATACAAAACAATCACCATTTTGAGAAATTAGTAAGAAATACATACGCAGTATTGACTGACTTCTTCCACCACTAGCTCCTCTTCCTCTAAGGCTGCTTCTTCCTTAACTTCCATGCTCTCCTCTTGTTCAACATCTTGACAAGAAGCAGTGCTTAAAGTGGAAACCTCTTCCTGTGAAGACTGATGTGACAGGATGGAGTCAACAGGAGCAGCCTGATAACCAACAGGCTCCACCACCTCTTCCTCTTCTTCTTCCTCCACCTCCTCTCCTTCCATCTCCACGACTTCTCTTTCCTTCACCTCCTCCTTTATTTCCAGGTCGACCCCTTCAGTCATCAGTGAGCAAGACGCAAGGGGAGTTTTCAGGGAGCTCAGCACTTCCTGTAAGAAGGAGCTTTCCTCCTCCTCCCTGTTCTCCTGGATTCCATCTTCTTCTCCGCTCAAGTCAACCTCCTCCGCTCCAAAGGTGATGCTCAGAGGGTCGAGCAGATACTCTTTGGGACCAGCAGGGGGCTCCGGCGTGGCTCTGTAAGCAGATATCAAGGAGTCAGATTGTTAGAATGAGGAAACAGAGACAGACAGGAAGTGGTGTAAATGATGTGTAATCACCCGGGACTGTCCGGAGAGGAGGCTCTGGAGCCGGGCCCGGAGGAGGGCAGGGGCTTGGTGTCCGGGGATTCCTCCTCTGGGAGTCTCAGCTCCGTAAGAGAGGAAGTGTCCGGGCCGTGAGAAACTTCCTGTTCTGCTTCACACTCATCCTCCTCCTCATCGCTCAGTCTGGAATGCTTTGGCTGCTCCTCCTCCTCCTCCTCCTCCCTCTCCTCCTTTGGTTTCAGCTCATCAGCTCTTACACCTGGACCACAGACAGAGGCAAAGGTCTCATAGGTCAAGCTGATGATACACTGGCAGCAAGTATATGGAAGTCTATAGATGCCAATGTTACAGTGAAATAATTCTCTTAAATAAAGTTACATTATCCTATTTGTGGGGCAGATGTTTGACAAAATTAAAATTGAAAAAAGTCATTTTATTTTTAAATAGTAATAATTAATCATTATAATAATTATTTAATATTTTCCATCAGGGCATAGTTTATTTAAAGCAATCTGATTTGGAGGTTTAGTTTGCAAATTGCATGCACAATTTAAGAATTATTATTTTTTTTTTAAACACAAGTCATTTTAATTTGATTATATCATTGAATGTGAAACACTGGCAGTGAGAATCTTCCATACATGCAGAGTCAACCATTTAGATAAAAAAAAAAAAGATGGAGTAGAATCGAGCAGAGCAGGAAGTTTTCTGACCTTCTGCTGGATTCTCTTGATCTTGCTCCTCTGCTGTTATGGAGGCGTTCAGTGTCCCGTCCCACACAGAGTCTCCCTCTGATTTCAACTCCAGCCTCTACATTGACACAAAACATTTACAAAGAAATACTCTTTATCAGTTACAACCATGAGCTGGTATGATTGTCCTAAACTAAAAGAGGCACATTTCAGTGCTTAAGGCACTGGCTCTATCGCTGGCACAATCAGGTAACATGATCATTACCACATCATGTATACCTATCATGTTGTGATTGGCTGAAGAGGATCCGTCAGTCAATGCTTCAACTTTCTCTAGGAGAAGTCCAATAAACTACGGCAGGAATTACGTGTTTAAGTAATCCAACCCAAAAGTTTGCATCAAACTGGTTCCATCGACAAAAAGCTAATGTGATTTCTCCATGATATGAAAGTTATTGTGAAAAACATTTATGATGCTTTCCTACTTACTCTGATGCTGTACCTTTTATAAGTTTAAAGCTAACGTTAGGATTTAAAATAACTATTTCAGGGTCCCTGAGTAGATGAGTTTCACTGTTTTTTTTTAACAAATAGCAAATTAAGCTATTTGTTAGCAACTGCTTTTTTATGACAAGTTGAAGCTCCAAGTTGTGGGTATTTATGGAATTATTCTATATTGTAGAACATAAAGTACACATCTCTTGAGCTTCATTCAGGTATTTATCCAAACACCCCTTGACTTGGGATTAAGAACCCTGACATGCAAAACATGCTGACTAAATCCTAGTCTTCTCAATGAAGATGGAGACATTGATACAAAAATGATCATATAAGTTAAAAAAGAAAAGCCCATGTTAGCCAATGAAAAAAACGACATCATTAGTCAATATATTAGTTAAAGGTCCCCTAATATACTGTTTTTCATCAATATATTAGATATATACAAAACATGTCTCTGAAGAGTTTGGCTCCAAACACCAAACAGATCATTGCAGCATCCCATAATCCCCTCTGTTTCAGCCCTGTTTCACAAGTGCTGATTCTCTGTCTGTTACTTCAGATGAAAATAAGGAGCCCCTCCCCACGCCCCTCTGATGCCCCTTTCACACCAACGCGTTTTCAGCTCCGGCTCAGAGCTGGAGCCTGAAAAGTACCGGTTTTTCCTGTTCACACCGCAGAGGCGCCGCCTCTTAGCTCCGGAATCCGGTTCACTTCCAGCTCCAAAAAATTGTCGGTCTAGAGCAGTGGTTCTCAAACCTTTTCTGTCAGGCCCCCCTTTGGAGAAAAAAAAAAAGTCGGGCCCCCCCAACACAAATAGTCAGGCTCAGTGGCGGCGCCAGAGATTTATTTTGGGGGTGCTGTGGGGTAGCTTGACGTTTCATAGAGGGTGCTCAAACATTTAGGGTTTCCCATTAATGTACTGGGCGCTACAGTGGAATGTTCTACTGCAACAATCCCCACGCAAATACACAATGTACCCGCGACTGTTACAATGAAGGCTCGATAATCAGCTCACGGCATATAGGTGTAAGCAAGTGCTATTTTTATAGGTGGTGTGTGGACCTCACATAGGGGGGTCCGGGGGCATGCTCCCCCGGGAAGATTTTTAAATATTGAAGTGAAAAGCATCAATCTGGTGCACTTTGAGAGCAAAATGAAGAGATCTATGGATACATCTCTCAACACCCATATGAAACAGAACTGTAATAAGATTTACTTTTTCTTTATGGATATTTTACAAATCACTCCCTTTTAAACTTTATTCTTTTTTTAATGTCATAGTATTTCATACCTGTTTTTAATTTT